CCAGCGCCGGAGTCTCGGGAGGTTCACCCGCGATGCTAATCGCGCTTATTGCAAGGTGAAAAAAAAAGTGCCTTTCGGGGGGGGAAAAAACCTCGTGGGAAGATCTGGAGGGGTCGGCATTGCGAGAAAACATGCTTAAGCTGCTATTTTATATATGCGCTTTCTTGGAAGCAGCTGACCTTAAGCTCGACGGGGTTGTTCAGTCGTTGGTTTGAAAGGAAAACCTGGAAAGCTTGGAGTATTTTAGAAGCTCTGCTTGCACTTTAATAAGAAGGTCTTAATTTGAGAAGTTCTAGCGACAGATTGTTCCCTGCTCTGGGGATGGCAAGAAAGATTGGCCATCGGATCTCCGGCAGTTTAAATCGCCTGCCAGAGGTCCTACTTCTACAAAGGCTGTCAGGTTGCCCTGGGACCTGGCGCCCTCCAGATGGCTTGGGAAGAGAATTCCCAGAATTCCCAGCCGGCTGGCTGGCTGTTGGGAGTGGTAGTTCCGGAGAGTACTAGACTGGCCCGTGGTAGGCAACCTCTTGCTTGGTCTGGTGGGCAAGCAACTAATCACATCTATAGGGAAAAAAAGAATAAATTGGAAGGGGAAAAAAATGCAAAGTATGCCAAAGAGTAATGGGGTGTGTAGGTATAATGTGAGATTTGGAGCTGAGTAGTAATAACAATAATTAAATAATAATTAATAATAATTAATGGGAGATCATCCTGATAGGAAGGGCAGGATTTATATGCGCGTGTTGTATTTAAAAGCAGGCTTAATCCTCACCCTCCACTTTATAGGGGGCAGCTGGTTCTTTTACTCTTCCTCTGACAGCTTTTCAAGGTTTCTACCCACCCACTGGGGGAAATGGGATGTTGGTCTGGCAGGGCTGCTGTTGTGGTTAAGAGAGTTATGCATGGGATGGCAGCCAATAAAACTTGTTAAAGTAATAATTTTTGGAGAGTTACTAGGCAGTTGTAAAGGTAAGTGGTGACAGTACTTCCCATGATACTGATGTGCAAGCAAGTTAATTGTGCATTACCTGCAATTGTGGTAACATCCCCATCCCCATGGAAACAGATATAACACTTCATTTATATAATTGGCTTGAAATTGACAAGTAGAATTTCCCCATTTTTAAAACAGTAGGCTGTTCCAAATAAATATTATGCTTTTTTCAGCTTTGTTTTGATCAGCCTTCCCTCACCGAGTCCCATTCAGATTTTGGACTTCAGAAACACTGTTTCTTAAACAATATATTCTGGGATATATTGACTGGGATTAATTTGAGCCTGGTCTCTTTTGAGCTTTCCCTGAAACCCTTTCTGGATATAAGGCTTCAGCCCTGGGGCTCGAAGTGATCGTAAAGATGTTTCCAACATTTCTGTGGCCATTTTAAATTTTGAAATGTGTCCAGGGCGCTAAAAATAACTGCTATTGGAAAACACAAAAATAAGTGGCAAATCACCAAATATTGATTTCTCTCCCCCCCTTTTTTTTTCTTTTTCTTTTTCCCTTTGGATTTCTCTGCCTGTGCTTCTCTTGCAGCCATGATCTTTTTCTTTTTCTTTTAAATAAGTTGGGGGAGATCAGGGAAAGCAACTGTGAGCATATTTTTCCTCATGGGCACTGCACTGGAGATCCCTGAAGAGAAATTTTTATGAACAGTCATTTTCATTTCTTTCTCATTATACCCATGGATTTTTATACCATTATAAAGAAAATCTGCAATTAAAATGTTTTGAAACACAGCAGTGAAAAAAAGAATTTTATGTTAAGCTTCTATTGCATACATTGAAATAGTGTTTAATTTCTAAAATGTGAAGTTCCAGACCTGAAAAGTGTATTTAAATAAATATAAAGACCAGAATTTGACCAAAGGAAAATGTTCTATTGTTTCTGACCCTGAAAGGAGTCAAGTAGACTTTCAATTCATGGTGGTTAGCTCACTGAAACCATCCAAACCTGTATCCACTTAACTTAGGAGGAATTCCTACTGAGATTTTATTGTGAATACCTATATATACTTTGGGAGAGCCAGTTTGGTCTAGTGGTTAAGTCTCCAGGTTAGAAACCAGGAAACTCTGAGTTCTAGTCCTGCCTTAGGCATGAAAGCTGGCTGGGTGACTTAGGGCCAGTCACTCTCAGCCCATGATGTCAGGCTTGGGCGACAAGCCAGTCAGTCAATTCCCGTCATAACCAATAGATCAACATTTGGTTGAACCAAAAAAAAAAGTGGATCCTGCACCTGTGGGGAAAACACTAGGAAGAAAAAAAAACTATCTACATTTATTGCTCAATATCTATCTATCTATCTTGGCTGCTGGTTATGGGTTTTGGGGTTTTTTTTGTTTTTGTTTTTTTACTGTTGGTTGTGTTTTTAACTGTTAGCTGCCCAACGTCACCATGATGAAATGGGCAGCCATATAAATTGAATAAATACATAGAATTGCATTGTTTGTGGGCAAAACAGACACATTTTATGCTAGAAAACATTTCATAAGAAATGATCTTACACATCATTTCATGATGTTGTTAGAGAATAAAAAAAAAGATTTAGAAAAAGGCAGCTGGATACCTCCTTTATGAGGAGAGACTCACTGTATTAGAAAAAAAAGACTGAGAAGGACCACACAGTAGAGTGACTGACTAATTTGATATCCTCCAAGACAATCTACAATATTCTTAGTATGCTAGCAGAGACATACTAAGAATAATGGGATATAATCCAGTACAATGAATGGAGCAAGTCAAGGAAGCTGATAATTTATTAAACTTGTATGCTGCCCAACTCTCAACAACTCTGGTAGGATTATATAAAATCATGTACATTGTGAAGAAAGATGGCTTTTTACCACTACTATCCCTCCTCCTTCTCACATTACTAGAATTTTCACTCTTTCCATGAAACTGGCTGGTAGTAAATTTAGGAGAGACAGAAAGGAATGTTTCTCTACACAACATGGAATTTTTGGAATGCACTACTATGGGGTATGGTGTCAGCTATTCCCTTAAAGGGAATTTAAAGTGAATCAGTTGAACTCATGGAGAATCAGTTCTATCAGGAGATATTGGCCAGAACAGCTAAATAAAATACCTTGGTTCAGAGAGATAGGTTATTTGATGGGGAACAACAGCATTGGTGGACTAACTTGAGGCATCTGGCTAGCCACCTTCAGAAAGTAGTTATTAGACCAGATGGATGCTGTGTTTCAGGAGGCCTTTCAAAGTCCTGAGATGCAACTGCCTGGAGTCCTATTCAGGTATTTTCAGTCTGACTTAAGCACAAATGAGTGAGAAGGTAGAGTGAGCATCCTGCATGCTCTCTTCCATCTTGATTTCACTGCCCTTTTCAATTTAGGGTGAACATCTGAAATGGGGAAACAGTCTGTGAAGGTATTCTGTATAAGTATAATACATACAGAAGAAGCTTCTTGCTTCAGAAGTTCATTATGAAATACAAAGAGCTGTGAATGGTGACTGAGGGATAGAACCATCATGCTATTTCTTGCTGCCTTCCTTGTATGTTGCTATCAGAAAAGTTAATGACACCTGTAGAGGGTTTTTGCTTAAAAGTTAAACTGTTACTCAATTTTAGCTTTTTCATTGTTGAAAATCCCTCCTCCTTACAAGCTGCTTTTAACCTTGTTGAAAAAAAGAGCTATCTTCATATTTTTTTTTCCGAAAGTTTAAAAAAAAGAGGAAAAAATGGGTAGGATTTTAATATGAAAATGGTATAAGTGTTAAGCCCCATTGTTTCTCCAGCACAAAACTCAGTTGCTTTTAAGATGTGCTGTCACTCAAGCATTTTCCTCATTCCTGAATAGGTAGAGAGGCTCTAGTAGAAAACCTTTTTTGGATGAGCCAATTCTTTGTACATGTATTGCTCAACAACATCTTTCATTTCTAGAATGTCTCAGGTCTTGAGGCCTGTTTTGCACAACAACAATTAAAAACAAACCTCATTGCATAGTTGCTACCTTTCAACACCCAGTATAATAAAGGAATTCTTGACTGGAAATTTTGAAATGTTTTAAATTCTTTTTTGCATGCTAGTAATTATAGAAACAAAAACAAGACTAGATTTTCCTTGCCTAGATTCGAAAGGTTGCTGGTTTCAGGATGTTGTCATATCAGCCTTGTTAGATCTAAGGATGATTAATTTTGTTTCATATAAAGAACATTTTTCCATAATACTCCTGGGGGATTCTGCCTTAATCTGATATGCTTCCTCCTCTCATGCTTGAACTCCAGTTTTTTCTTGTATAATCCATACTGAAGTTTACCATTGCATATGAGTAAGCAAGGCATGTTTTGTCCTTGTCTTGCAAACCATGTC